TTACCTGTGTGTGTGTTACCTGTGTGTGTGTTACCTGTGTGTGTTACCTGTGTGTGTGTTACCTGTGTGTGTTACCTGTGTGTGTGTTACCTGTGTGTTACCTGTGTGTGTGTGTGTGTGTGTGTTACCTGTGTGTTACCTGTGTGTTACCTGTGTGTGTGTTACCTGTGTGTTTACCTGTGTGTGTTACCTGTGTGTGTTACCTGTGTGTTACCTGTGTGTTAAATGTTGTTTACTGTTGTGTTACCTGTGTGTGTTACCTGTGTGTGTTACCTGTGTGTTACCTGTGTGTGTTACCTGTGTGTTAAATGTTATTTTCTGTGTGTTACCTGTGTGTGTGTTACCTGTGTGTTACCTGTGTGTGTGTTACCTGTGTGTTACCTGTGTGTGTGTTACCTGTGTGTGTTACCTGTTTGTTACCTGTGTGTGTGTTACCTGTGTGTGTGTTACCTGTGTGTTACCTGTGTGTGTGTGTGTGTGTGTGTGTGTGTGTGTTTCCTGTGTGTGTGTGTGTGTGTGTGTGTGTGTTACCTGTGTGTGTGTTCCGTGTGTGTGTGTTACCTGTGTGTTAAATGTTATTTTCTGTGTGTTACCTGTGTGTGTTAAATGTTATTTCCTGTTGTGTTACCTGTGTGTTACCTGTGTGTGTTACCTGTGTGTTAACTGTGTGTTACCTGTTGTGTTAACTGTGTGTGTTACCTGTTGTGTTACCTGTTGTGTTAACTGTGTGTGTGTTACCTGTGTGTTACCTGTGTGTTACCTGTGTGTTACCTGTGTGTTACCTGTTGTGTTAACTGTGTGTGTTACCTGTGTGTTACCTGTTGTGTTAACTGTGTGTGTTACCTGTGTGTAGTAGCGGAGGTGTGTGTTTCTGGCCCGTGTCTGAACGGAGGCAGCTGCTCTCCTCAGGGTTCCTCCTTCACCTGCTTCTGCCTCCCAAACTTCAGCGGACTCACCTGTGAGCTGGGTGAGAAACACACGATTAAAAACACAATAAGAATGAAATGTGAAAGTTTAAGCAGATTTGTTTGTATTGGTTTGGGGCTGAAACAGAAATATGAAACTGTTCTTACCTGTGTTGCAGAGCGGAGTTCGGTGCTGGACACCTGTCTGCTGCAGAACGGAGGCTGTGAGCATTTCTGTGATGAAGATGAGGAAGGACGAAGACTGAAGTGCTCCTGTGCCGATGGATACTTCCTGCATGACGACGGGCGGAACTGCATCGCTAAAGGTAGACGTTTAACATCAACATTTTAAAATGTAAGCAGAGGCCCCAGTGTAGATCCCTGCGGGACGCCATATTTAACTCTACAGTTTTAATGCAAAATGTGATGTTTTTTTAAAGATCAGAATAATATCAGCTGTTTTATGAAACAAATCAACGTGTTTTCTGGACGTCTCAGAGGCCATAGCGTGCGGCATGGTTCCGGTTCTGCTCGGGGGAAACAAGGCGGAGCAGGATCCCCGGGCTCGGATCGTCGGGGGGGAAGACTGTCCGAAAGGGGAATGCCCCTGGCAGGTAGGTTGCCTTAAAGGGACAGTACACCATTTACTGCTAACCCTGTAATCTGTCCTTCTCTGAGCGGGGGGGATCCCAGAGTTACACAACTGGACTTTAACCCTGTAACCTGTCAGAACCAGAATCTGTTGGAGACCCTCGAGGTCACCTGATAACACACAGGTCAAACTGAGTCAAGAGAAACAGAATCAGGGAATTAGATCCATGTTTTCTGTCCTGATAGAAGCTCTGAGTGTTCATCGTTAATCAGATACTGTTCCTGTTGTTCCTCAGGTTCTGCTGGTGTACAAAGGGAAAGGGTTCTGTGGAGGAGTGATCTTTAAACCCTTCTGGATCCTCACAGCCTCTCACTGCATAGAGGACACCGAGGTCCAGTTCCTCAAAGTGGTCGCAGGTACGAACTACTGACCCTAACCCTAAAAAGTGGTTGATACCAACACCTGAGAAATCTACAGTTCTAGAAAACAGAACCAGTTCTTGCTTTGTGTTTCCTCCGACAGCATTATTAATTTGTCAAGTGAGGTCAGAAAGGCTATATTATTGTTTACAGCAGTTCTCAACCACTGGGCAACTCAAGAAAAGGTGTTGTTTTCCCTCTATGTCGAGTCAACTGCAGTGTACCCTGTGGTATTGAATATCTGTGTTAATGTGTGTTATTGTTTCTACATCTGCTTTATGTGTTGAATTCCTGAAATTAGCTATGGCAGTTAAATAGTTTTCACTGCACTCGCAGGTTATGTTACTGCTTACAAACGAGAATTAAAACGTGTTCCTCTCGTTGTTTTCAGGCGAGCACAACACGGCGGTGTCGGAGGGCACGGAGCAGCTGATCTCGGTGTCTCAGATCTTGATGCACGAGGGCTACGTGAAGCGCACGGCGAATAACGACATTGCGCTGTTAAAGCTATCGTCGCCCGTGATCTTCTCTGCGTTCGCCGTGCCCGCCTGCCTGCCCACGCGTTCGCTGGCAGAGCGCGAGCTGTGGGCCGTGAGCGAGCACACGGTGAGCGGCTGGGGGCGGCGCGCGGAGAACGGGCCGACCTCTAACGTCCTGCGGCGCCTGAAGGTGGCTATTACTATTATTATGATTATTATTATTTTGTATTTCTTTGTAGAGAGGGAGCAGGTAATATAAGAGTATTTTCTTCTCCCTGCTCCTTTTCAGGTATGGTGTTAAACACTATAAACTAGAGACATGTTTTGTAAATAATTGATATATATTAAGTTGTGCATACCATGAAGGAAACAAATCAATCTGTTCCTCACTTCAGGTGCCGAGGATCCGGACGCAGCAGTGCGAGGAGCAGAGCGGCGTGAAGCTAACGGCTAACATGTTCTGCGCCGGCTACATCGAGGGTCGTCAGGACTCGTGTAAAGGAGACAGCGGCGGCCCATTGGTCACTCAGTACCACCGGACCACCTTCCTATTGGGCATCGTGAGCTGGGGGCGGGGCTGTGCTCGGCCCGGGAACTACGGCATCTACACCCGCGTGTCCAACTTCCTGCCCTGGATACACAACCACACCAGGGCCCCGAACGCACCGCAAGAGAACCAGAACATGACCCTAAACGCACCGCCGGGGAACCAGAACGTGACCCTGAGCGCGACGCCGGGGAACCAGAACGTGACCCTGAGCGCACCGCCGGGGAACCAGAACGTGACCCTGAGCGCACCGCCGGGGAACCAGAACGTGACCCTGAGCGCAACGCAGGGGAACCACAGTGTGACCCTGAACGCACCGCAGGGGAACCACAGCGTGACCCTGAACGCACCGTAATAATAATCCATCTTTAGAGTAAAAATACAAAAAGACAAATCAAAATATTCAGGGTTTCTCTGTTCCTTTCAAATTAAAGAACATTAGACTTAGTTCATTATATCTCTGTTTGATGATGTGTAGAAACTGAGCCTTCTGTAGGAGCTGAAGTATACACAGGTAGAAATTAATATGTCACTAAGAACTTTCAGATTTTTGTACAAATGTCCGTCTGAAATAAAGCACATTTTGTCTAAAAACTGTAGGATCTTTGCAGAAAGTTATCTGATAATAAACGGAGTATATAAAGCTCAGATTCATGAGTAAATAAACACGTGCTCCTCCTCCATCTGCAGTATTTACTTATTGTGTAATCGTGCCTCTCTGTTAGTTCATCATTTCTGTAGAAAATATGCACTTTTACTGCAGAAAATACTCTATAGTTTGTGTACTTATATGTGTAGTGCTGCTGCTGATACGTGTACCACATGGAGCTGGAATAAATCCTAAATAAATACATGAGTTTAAATAATAATAATAATAATACATTACATGTATATAGCATTTATAGAAATCAGACTTCATCAGAGTTTTCAGCAGATAGCAAAGGGTCAAAGGTCAGGTGGAGGTGTGTTCACTGACCTGGTGGAGATAAAAGCTCTTTAGTCTGGGTATAGAGGAGACAGTGAACACATCACGATGTTTGAGAGGAGCGTCTGCTTTCTGCTGATCGGCCTCTCTCAGGCTGCAGGTAAACAGGAAACACACCGTAGCATGTTAGCATGACAGGCAGGTACATACAGAGGGGAGGTTAGCATGTTAGCATGGTGTTAGCATGACAGACAGTAACACATAGATGTGGTGTTAGCATGTTGGCATTTTAGCTTTTTGTCAACGTAAAAAAACAACTGGCCTTTTTTCAGTTGTTTTAGTAGTTCTGCGTCTCTTAGTATTTTAACAGACGTCTATTTGCTAATTTTATGTTTCTATATTACATGTTCATCTCTTTCACGTCTGTTTTTGGTATGTTTTTAAGAATCTCTGGTTGTTTTAACTTTTGTTGCTTCTTTATGTAGTTTTCTGTTTTTTTTGTAGTTTTCTGTTTTTTCGTAGTTTTCTGTTTTTTTGTAGTTTTTATTTTTTTTGTAGTTTTCTGTTTTTTTTGTAGTTTTCTGTTTTTTTTGTTAGCTTTAAGGATGTCTCTATTTTAACATCCTTTTTTTATCGTATTTTGAACGTTTCGAGTCTCTTTCTGGTGGTGTCGCCTCTCTCAGTGAACTACTTGAGTATATTAGTGACTTCCCAACAGAAGATATTAGCCGTAACTTTCATCAGAGGCTCAGAGGAGCGTTCATTAATCTTCTATGATGCTAACCTGATGCTAACCTGATGCTAAACAGCTATTTCCAGGTGTTTCCAGTAGTTAATAATAATATAATGTTCTGTAGTGTTTGTTGAGAGGCAGCAGGTCCTGACAGGATGTAATAATAATATGTTTAATAGTGTTTTTGGAGAGGCAGCAGGTCCTGACAGGATGTAATAATAATATGTTTAATAGTGTTTTTGGAGAGGCAGCAGGTCCTGACAGGATGTAATAATAATATGT